TTTCATAACTTTTGAAGTTTTTCTCAATAATAGTTTCAATCTGCAAAAATAGTTTAATATGAATATGCACTACTGCTATTTGGAGTCAGTCACTTTTTTTGATAGAAATTAATACTTTTATTCCGCAAAGATGCAATAAATTGATCAAAAGTGACAGTATAGACATTATTAATTTTACAAAAGATTTCCATTGACAATAAATGCTGTTTTTTGAATGTTCTATTTTTAATATTGATAAGAAATGTTCCTTGAGCATCAAATCAGCATATTAAAGTGATTTCTGAAGGATCATGTGACACTGAAGACTGAAGTAATTCATCTTTGCATCACAGGAATAAATAACATTTGAAAATATATTAAAATAGAGCACAGTTATTTTAAATTGTAATAATATTTCACAATATTACTGTTTTTACTATATTTTTGATCAAATAAGGCGTATTTTACATTTGAACTTTAGAACAGTAGTGTAAATTAATAAACTTTAAATGAATAAAAAAATCTGAATAAACATTTCCTCTTGTATTTGTGAAGTACTTCAGTGTATTTTAAGTTCTGTCTTTCTCTCGGTTTCTCTGTAGTTACGAAGTTCTTTTGGCAAGGCGTTCAGCATTAAAAAGGGCGCTAAAGATGGCTCCATGTACTCTGATATTGAAGAGATCGCCACTCCAGACTCTTCTGCACCTAACTCACCAAAACTGGGTCATGAAGAGGGAGAGAACCCGCCCACTTCCCTCCCATCCAGCCAATCAGCCGCTTCCTCTGTGTGAGTAAAGTTCTCATGCGCCAGTCACAATATCAGAAGATGATCACGCAAAAATGGGCGATTTCACTTTTGAAATGCAGGACTATTACACCCTTTAGACTGCTTTTAAGTGTTACCACATTTTAAACAGTGATGACATTGTGTTCTAACAGGATCCATGAAAGTAACGAGGAAAACGAGAGTGATGAGAAGATGGTGTCAGAGCTGCGGTCTGAGCTGTGGGAGAAAGAGATGAAACTGACGGACATCCGGCTAGAAGCGCTGAGCTCAGCACATCAGCTGGAGCATCTACGAGAAGCCATGAACAACATGCATGTTAGTGACCGTTTAGTAACGTTTTGTCATTTTATGCCCTTAAATGTAATACATTTTTCAATTTTTAATTAATTTAATTCTCAAAGTCTTTTGCAGGTTAATATATTTTGTTCTCAACCTGTTTTTTGTGACCCTGCTGCCCCACTGAGCATTCCTTGTCCAATGCTCATGTCTTAATTTAGCTATTTCTATAGTATTGCATCCTTCACATGGGCATTTAATTACATTTTTGACTTTTCAGTGTGTTAAATCTCTTTTTTGGCCCATTTTACTTGTAGAAGAAAACCTGCTTAATAATTATAAATCTGAAAATAAGGTGTTTTTCATTTCCAGCCCTTGTTAACAATTATATGTCACTTATAAATGGTTGTATAATAAAGAATATCGATTTGCCTAATAATTATGAATCAGAATCAGAATGAGCTTTATTGCCAGGTATGTTTACACATACGAGGAATTTGTTTTAGTGATAGAAGCTCCACAGTGCAACAGAATTACAGTGACAATACAGGACATAGATAATAAAAAGAATAATATACAAAATAGACAATGTGTATGTACAGGTATGATATGTGCAAATTTGAAATGTAAAAAAGTATGTGTGTTAAATAAATGTATAATAGTGTTGTTTGTTCCACGTTTATTGTCAAGTGTTCATGAGATGGATTGCCTGAGGGAAGAAACTGTTCCTGTGTCTGGTCGTTCTGGTGCTCAGTGCTCTGTATCGTCGACCAGATGGCAACAGTTCAAAGAGGGAGTGTGCTGGATGTGAGGGGTCCAGAGTGATTTTGGCAGCCCTTTTGCTCACTCTGGATGAGTACAGTTCTTGGAGAG